AGGATCCACAATGAGTACATCCAAAAACTTAGTTTTAATTCGGTGTACGGTTATTATTTTTTGAATGTTAGGGGACGCATCTTAATGTTATGCGATAATGAATTTATTGGGAACATAAGATCACTAGCTACAAGGTGGAATAGTGCTAAGCAATTTAGGTGTGTGATTGTTTCAGCAATTCAGGATTCAGTGGTTTAGACTGAGGGATAACTGAAGGTCTAATGCAACCTAGGTTATGGGTGTATTTGTACAGGCATTAGTTTAATAAACCAGTTGGCTATGAACATAACTTACAAATGTTTCAGTATTTAACAAATAATAAGATCAAATTAGATTAGAACACAATTAAAATCATTTCAGCTTATATTGTAGGGTTGTTTTAATGATGTAAGCTAATAAAACTTTGTAGGATATTATAAATGACTATTCCACTGATTTCATAAACAAGGGAAAGCTGTGTTTCTGCTTAATTATTTTATTTAAAGAGTCTTGATTTTGATAATTTTCATTTGATGGTCGCTATTGTCATGTACTGATGTTTGAAAATTACCCATTAACTTCTAATGATAAATGACAGCCATTGGGTTCCGATTCATTAATTGAATGATGTTGTGCATGTACATTATGAGGTTTAAGAGTCCTGTATTGTATTATGAGTTTGAAGCTTAAAATTTAAGGAAAGTTGTCACATAGTATACATTGGTACCTAATACTTCCCCAGCTCATATCGATTGTCCATGAATGCAACCCTCTGTTAACAAATTAAATGTCTTACAATGAAACTGAACAAAGAATATTAGGTATTTCATTTTGAAGATACTGAAAATTAATCTTTACTTAACAAATGTAAATCTAGAAAACAGAGCAAGAATTCGCTGTATTTGTATAAAGACTTTATTTCTCAAATAATTGATAGTGACTATATAGAATTCAAAAGGCGAATACAGTAGTGACTGTTGTTAATTAACTTTATTGAATTCTTTGTTGGTGTGTGTATAAGTATATAAGTTATTACCTGAAACTCAAAGAGTTCAGCTATTTCACCCAATTGAAAACTCGAGATGATTTGCTTAATAAATTATTTAATAGATCATTGATTGATATGGATTTAAATTGAATACAACATATCATTAAACCTGAACATAATTTATTCTATATCTAGTTACTTAATTTCTGGGTGTATTATTAATTTAATCTGATTATATAATTTTTTAAATTGATCTGACATGGATTTTTATAGTTACTAAAGTGTTGATTAGAACTACCAACCATTCAATCTGATTGACAGATATTTATTAATTAGTTGGGGTATGAGTTCATGCTAAAAACGAAATGCACCACATACGTATAAAACCTGCTAGCTTAAGATCATTCTAATTGACGTTTTGTTATTTACACTGTTCACTTACAACATCTTTTGACCTGTAGAAACAATTTAATATAGTTCACGTATTGTTAGTTTACGTAAACCAGTGACTGTACTGACAGGATTGATAGAATTCGGTCAAGACTAAGTAATCAACAAGCGTCACATCGATTTCTACTCAATAATCACCTAATGCAAAATTTATCAGGTCAGTTGTCCTTCAAATGGTTCACTAGTAGCATCTTAGATTATAAAGTTGTAAAATCCCAGATGTAAGGGGCATAGGTTGCTGATAAGCCTTTCTGAAGAGTGTCAAATAAATTTAAATCTTACTTCAGAGCTTCCTACCAGTCGCTTTTAAATATCAAACATAATTTAACACAATGTATGTTCAATTCACTTAAAAAAAATACTGTCTTTATGAACAACTGTATCTGCCACGTTTTTCATACTCTGGCATTTAAAAGTGTAAACCGAAACCAGCAATTATAAATAAACATGTAACTGGATGACAGAATTGATGGGGTGAATTTATTAATACTAATACATTCTGAATGAAATTTTTTTGGCTTCTTACGGGTTGCTACATATATATATTCTAATGAGCGCTTCTGTTTTATTGGCAACTTATAAGTTGAAAAGGAATGCGTCACAAACAAACTTTTCAGTGGTACTCAGCTGCGACTCAACACAGGATAGAACCCATGATTTCCAGATCTGAATGCAGGTACAACACCAAATCACTGAGCTTGTATCCTATGTTCATGAATTTTGAACTTCAATTAGGAAGCAGTGTTCAATGGGGTCATTGATAGGTTTATATCTCACTCTCTGCTTCGTTGACTTAATAAGCTACGATTAATCTGTCTATCTTAGATTTCTGAAATATTTGAGACGGGGTCAAAAATGCCAAGCAGTAAAAATTTTGAAAATATCGGTAAGAAATCTTGATCTGATGCATGTCTTCTTTTACCTTTTTTGAGACTATAAATAATCTTTATCTGTAGCGAATTCCCATGATTCAGAAACCTTAAAACACAGTCACTTTCATTTACTTGTCTTGTATATTTCTCTGTTGAATTTTCGTTTGTCAAACCAAAGAATAAACATTACATAAATACACATTTTCTCAATGATAATTATAAGTAAAAGAGATCTCATTTAAATGACCAAACTCTAATCAAAACATCAAAATATTTTATGGTTATTTTCCTTTTTCTTTTCTAGACGAAATGAATTCAAGTACAGTCTTTCACATTCACTTGTGTACTATACTACTTATAAACTACTGAATTCTTCAAATCTTTTTTAATAATGACAATTCTATTACAACAATAATTACGTACATCTATTATCTGTAAATAATCTTACGTACCAGAGTTTCATAGTAGAGGATTGTTTGTCATTGAAGGAATTGTCAAATTCACTACTTATACTACTAATTAAAAATCCAGAATATTTCAACTTAAACATCCTGTTTCATATACATTAGATGATTAAAAAAAAAATTATCATACAATATAACATTCTTTAATTTTGTCACTCTTCACAATAACTAAATCATAAAATCATTTCAAGCAATACTTTTATAAGCAAATGATTTAACTAGTTGTCATGTGCTTTCTTTTTAACAAACCCTAATAATTAAGGTAGTTATGTGCTCATAAGTGCACAATATTCTATTAATAATAACAAAAATTGATTTGAGTCAGGTGATTGAACTGTAAGGCTAAATTAATTTCATTCACTAAACGTTAAATATTACGTGAATTAATAATTTGGGTACTGAGAGAAGATGATTAGCAGATAGGTTTCATAAATATTCATAGATTTATTGATTAGTTGGATTTTAAAAAAAAGAGAGAAAAAAAAGATATTTGATTGTTAATGATATTACTAAAATACTGAATAAATCTAGAAAAGTTACTTTATAATATAAGATTCTTATTACAACAGATAAGGAATGATATGATCTTAGACTAATTTCTGTGAACTTTATCATATAAACATTAGTCATATTTTGTACTGTTACGAATGAATAGCAATATTTATTTATTTTATCAATTAACTATTTTAGTTAATTAGTTCACATGGTAACTAATTCAGTTTTGAAGTTGTCATTTTGATACTTTGGTAGATATATCCATTCAGAGTTAAGTAGTTTCTAGTGATATAGGCTACAATAGGACGAAATTTAAATCTCACTTTCCTGTACTCAAAATTTAAATCTCACTTTCCTGTACTCGATATTATTCGAAATTTGTAATATTATGGCAGAATTTAGTATTAGTCAAGAATTTGGGTAGTCAAGCTAATTAGAAATGAGAACATATGTTTGTTGATGTCTTCAGCACTCTACACGTGTTCACTTATTTAAATCATGATAAATTATGATATATGGTTAGCTATTTGCAAACTAATTCGACCAATTCACAATGGTTCCTCAAGCCAACATTCATACTAAATTAATAGTAATCAATTAATATTCATTAAATGATGGCGTAAATCAGAAATAACCGGGAAAAAAAAGATTTTTAATTTGAAAATGATTAAAATGCATGGATAAACTGATAAGGACATAATTCAGTAACCAAGTTACTATGCTTTATCCTGATGTACAGCGGTTTCCAATTCCTATGACTCCCCATCGGTTACCTTATACCCCGTTTAACTGGCAATTAAAAGTCCTAAAATGAACAAGTTGTGTACAAGCAGGTGTAACTTACTTCTAATCAATTTCAGATATATTATTGCATGACGGTTCTTGAAATTTCACCGTTTTACATTTGAACATCCTTTCAGATACGTTAGTCGAACTAGACTTAGTAAAACAACTTCAACTCTAACAAGATCCTCTACTAAGGATATATATGACTGATTCATCCAAAAGATATTCAAATACATAAGTTCTAATTACTTTGTTAACAAATTTACGCGTTTTGTCTTCTTATGAAGTGATTCATATTAACAGGTGAACATATGCGTTAAACTGAAAATGTTAAAAATAAGTCAATTACCTTTATGCTAAAAAAACGTTTAATGACTTAATTAATATAACATGTTACATCCATGTTATGCAACAAAATAATGGAAAATACACAATCGGTGTTTTTCGTTTCCAGAATTTAAGTTTTAGGCTCGGTCATATATGGGAATGATTTCATTTTAATCGTTTTGTGTATAAGCAAGTTGCACATTCAACTTGATATTATGATGTCATGTGTTCCGAGATTTGTTTTCTTGCAATATTGACTAGTCAGTTGAATGTACTACTATGTTCAATGACTATGCAAACTGCAATCATACAAGCTTACTTCTACGAAACTAAGAACATATCAATCTTATTCCCTTGAAAATACTCATTGTATAAGTAAATGTAAATCTATCGTTTCGATGTTTTTATTGCTTAAAATATTTCCGAATATTTTCTGAGGTTAAGCATCTTAGAAACCATTTCATCCTTGGCAATATCTCAGCCCTCAATGAAACGGTTTATCCTGACAAAAACAGTTATTTCTTTACAATATATTCTACTTATTAATTCCTTTCAGCATTTCATGAATTTCTTAATCAATACTGGTTGCATATTGATCTTCTCTAGTAATTTTCAATATTTTTGTGTTGGTTTATTCAGGATACAACAATGTTAAATTGAACAGAAAATGACCTATTTCAAAATTGATTTTGATCAAAATACTATGGCATATCAACAGTTGTAATTTACAATGTGATGTTTAAACATGTTTGATGTACATAGTTACTTGTGGGCATGAACACTTTCATACTGTTTGGCGTGTGTAATTACAACTGTTAACCATTCTGTTCATTTTTATTTATTTATAGAAAAGATAATTAACTTACAAAAGTGAAAAAGCACACTTCATATCACTAACATAAAATGCTTGAAGAACTAAATCTTGGTGATTTAAATGATGTGCACAATGATAATAAAACAGGAAAATGGACTCCATCCAATGATCGGAGTAGATTATCACGTTATCGTGAAAGTTATTGTTCTGATGTGGATTTATTGCCCTCACTGTGCACAAAAGTAACAGTTGATATTCATCAAGATAATATTAATAATAGTGATTTTATTCACTTAGCTCGGAAAAATTATGAACCATTAAGAAATAGTGATGGAGCTAACGTTAAGGTAGTTAACAATAATAGCGGCAATGACGATAAAAGTGATGATGATTATAACGATGAGGAGAATCTTATGAGCTGGTTACTGAAACAGTTTAGAGAGAATGGTTTAGATTACAATGACAATAACTTAAAAAATGATGACTTAGAGAAAATCGATGCATTTAATTATGTGAAGCGATTAAATCAGAAAACATCAACTATCCCACATAATCTACCAATAGATGATTCTAATTCATCTATTTCAAGTTATCAGGCTACAATCGATTCAAAGAAATCAAAAACACAAAATGAGCACTTATTGAATAATAATAATAATAATTTTAGTAAAGAACAATTTGGTCATAAACAATATCATCATTTTCCTCGCATGTATCCACCTGTCAGAGATTCATCAGTCGAGTCTAGAAAGTTGTGTCAAAGGAATAAATCAAACAATTCACTAATAACAACAGCAACAACAACAACAACAACAACTAACCCACCTATAGAATCAGTGAATTCAACTACGCTAAAAACAATAAACAATACAAAACATCAATGTCAACTTATCAATGGTTTATTTCATCAAATAACTAAAAAGTTGGTAAGCAGTTTTATGAGAGCATTTACATTTTATTATCTTTTACTTTATATAGAAAATTAAACTTGACATTAGGAATTATTAAATTATTTTTCTTATAGATTGAGAGGGAGTTTTGTGAAGATCAATTCAGACTGAAGTTAACTTTTATTAAGAATTCATATTAAGTGATTGACCATTGACAATTAAGGCATGGTTTTAAGTTGTTAAATCTGAGTTCGCATACATTACGCTAATAGAAATCGAGTTTAGAATATTCTAGTCTCACCGCTTTTTTTAAATACTATTGAATCACAATCCACTTATTTGTATTGGGAACTACATTTAATTCCCAATAATGTGTGATACAATTCAATTCCATTGGTGTTATTTAAAAAGTGATCATTTTATTTATAATTAACATTAACTTATACTGAAGTTCACTTCTTAAGATGAACATCGTTACTATTTTTAATGGGCAAATTAGACGTAGGAAATGGATTAATTACTAGAAAGTGATGTGTCTTTAGTTGTTATAGGATTAATTCCTCTGACAATTGATGTTTTGTTTTGGATTCTGGTAATGAAAATTAAGAAATTCGGAATAAATACCATTTCTTAAGTGTAGATTTAGGATGTTATGCAAAATGGGATAATTTTCAGTTCGTCTTCATGCTCTTCTTTGGTTGGGAATTTCGCTTTATTTCCCATTACACTACTGACGACAAGCTTAGTGTAACTCATTTACTGAGGGTTGATGTACAGCATTCTAACTAATAACGTTTTATGAGAGCTTGTGGAACTAACTAAATGCCAGATCGAAAGTGCCAGATTAAGCTCGAACCTATGACCCATTGGTTGAAAAGGGTGGTGCTTTGACCACACTGTACTGAGACCAGGCCTTATAATTACAGATGTTTATCAATCCACCTAAATATCTGATGGGTTTGAATAGAGGTAAGGGAGTAAATAAATATTCATGTATCTTAATGATGCATATTTATCCACTACATAAGTTGTAACTTCCTGATATCTTCGAATCTATTATATGCTTGAAACTTCATCATTTCTTTAATTTTGATATGACAATAATAACTTATTAGAACTCTATTTATTCAAATGAATAAAAATATTTTCTGTTTAATGATTAATAAATTTACTATCATGAACAAATTATAGTTCATCCTAGTTATATACATTGGTGTTTGTCTGTTAGATTCATTATTAAGACACATTATTGTTAAATAATTTCTTAAATAGTATCATCATATGAAGTTATTTCGATTAGTGTTCTCGCTTCTTGTGAATTACAAATCCATTTCTCCCTGTTTTAAATTTTATCATAAAAAATGTTAATGATGATGTTTTCACTTTCCCCCTATCGTAGATAAGTATTAAGTGATGTGCAGTAATGTTCATCAGATTTATTTTTGTGTCATCACTAGGCTAAGGAAATAAGAATTTAGTCTTCATCACATGAAGATATCATTCATTAGATGGACCAAACGTTTAAGGGTTTGTTGTGGAAAAAGAAAACGGTAGGGTTCCAAAATATGCCCAGGAATTGAATCTACGATATTTAGTTTGTGAGATGGGCGTCTTGCCTTTAGATCAATAAAAAGTAACTTGGAGATGGATTTCCAAACTTTTGGTGAAATTTTGTGGTTAGTGAAGATAAACCATGATGGATGTGAGGTATCGGTTAAACTGATGGAATTTGATAATTATTGTTCACTTAAATAAAGTTTAAAATCTACACCTCTAGATTTCTTTTCGGCCAATTGAAGGATTATGATTTAATTCTTAGCGGGGTTGTTACTACGCACCATAGAGGATTCACTGACTTGGACAAAGCAAGTGTGGTTAGGTTTCTAGGTCACTCAATCAAGACAAACTTTGCGTTCAAAGTCATCTACAAGGTAAGTAGAATTCTCCCAAAAACAACTAGACTGCATCTTTCTTGCATTGCCGAAGCATTAGCTATACATCTGGGAAGACCAGAATTGTGTGTGCAAGAGCGACTGGTACAACCTCTTCTTTTACCATGGTCTCGATGTCGTATAATTTTTTTTCATTTTCAATTTTTTATTCTTATTTTTATTTTATTTTTCCCTTCTTTTGCTCTTTCTTCATACTCTTCTTCCTTTAAAAGTTTATTCATTCACTAATTTGAAAAATAACGTTAATAAAATCCAGTATGCAGAAGGTTCTTATATGTACTTGATAAACAAAAAGGGAATTTTTTGCAAACAGTCTAGTAAATTCAATGAAAAAAAAACCGATAAATACGTAAATGTTATTTGTTTGTTTTTTTTGTTTTCTAATAAATAACCCATTTTATGTGATGAATCATTGAAAATGGTTTTGTATTTTTTGGCAAGTCCACCTTTTTCCTAAATATGTTTGTCACTGCCTAATGTAATCTAATTGCTTCTCGTTACCGGTGTATGTTGACAAATAACAAGTATGGTGGCAATAGTGAAACGTGAATCTGTTTGTGACTATGTGATTAAGTATGATATTGGGTATAGTTGCAATAATAGCACTAATAATGATTCACAAAACCTACATTGTTTTTTTTAGATTTCTGCTTATTTACATTACAGTATCATCATAAAGACTCTGAGGAATTATTTCAGTAATATTTTCGAATCAGTTTATTTCAGAGTTCTGATACTGTAAATATTTTGTTCTTCCCTATCCAATTTATATTTACATCGTTTAAAAAAAATGTAGGTTAGTAGTTATACCAACGAACATAGTTTTAGTTGTTAGACTGATTATTTTAATTTCAGATTTGTTCACAATAATGAATAAGCTCAAAATAAACTCCTAAGTAGATTGTACCACAACAATGTCTTGGATTGAAACTGTTCATATTGTTGAACAAATTTGTGTATATATTAAAATTAACCCCTTTTTCGAGGCAATAGTTTGGAGAATGTACAAAGTGGAATAATACCAGAATGAGTCTTTATGAGTACCGTTTTAGTATCTTATTTATCTTATTTTGTACATACCTCCAGAATTGAAATAAATTACCAGAGGTCTAGTTAGTTAGTTGTTACAAATGTGGATTGTGGGGAAGCCCCAGGTTAGTTAGAAGAAAGACTGAGAGGTTTTGAATTCTTAATAGTTTGCAATCCAACTTATTTCTGCGGTTCATAAATGGTTTTGAAGAAAACAACTTAATAGCTTTTTGTCTCTTGCAACCCCTAAGATTATAATGATAGATTTGTCAAGACAGTTTGCCTCTCTCACTAACTTTGACCATTAAGAACAAGGGAGTACTGAAAGTTGTTGCGCCTTTAACATCAGTGCCAAACCATAATCTCTCTAGATTCATGATCCTCAAGCCATTAAAAGTAGACTATTGAGCTGATATTGTCATCTGATGACATTGATGAACCATTACCGTTTCATCAGTGATATCGTTCTCTATTTATTCTTGACCTTCGCTAGTCAAATCTCATTAAAACTAAGAGGAAATTTCTCATAGCTTTTAGAAACTTGAACAAAATATTACCCCTCATCCGTTATATTTATATGCTTTTGTATGTTAAACTTAGTAGTATTGAACAATGTCCTAAATTGAATTAAATGTACTGAAACTAAAACTTCGAGTCCGATCATGTTAAGTTTTTCGATAAATACGAATTCACCAATCCATTTACTTATCCTTCTTTCTAAATGTGACATTGAAATCAAATTAAAAACTTAAAAAACAAATAAGAACTAGTTTACAGTTATTGATAATAAGAAGCAGATGAGATTTGGATTTCATTGAATTTCATCAACTAGATTCTTGTGATTTAAGGTGGGAGAAAATGTAAAAACAGATTTATTCAAAATTAAACCGACATAGAATAATAAAAATGAAGTTTTCTTATTTAAATTTTTACTGTTGAATAAATCAGACGAATGTTACTTCTTGTAAATGACTTTTTCTTATGATGAAGCAATAGTATAGAATGGAAATATTATTAAATAAAACAGACTTTTTGGGCAAAATTACTTTAACTTATTTTTAACCCATGTTATACAATACTCAGTTTATAATGTTTTGTTCAGAGTAAATGATAAAGTCAAACTGTTGTATCATAAATCTTTGAATATTCATTAGACTAGCTAGTAATAAGAAAAAAGAAACAGAAATTATCAAACCATACAAACAACAATGTCAATAAGCATGACAATATACTTGAAAGATAAAAACACAAAACATAATCTCTATCTTCACTGAGGAAAACTGCTAATTATTCAATGTTTCTTTACTTAATGTTGTTTAACACAATCTTCTATATGGTACCAACATATCAACAAATAAAAAGTGATAGTGATCATGATGAAACGATTAAATTTGTTTTTGAATTATTCTAAGGAAATCTGCACTTAAATATAAGAGTTTAATTCATTTATTTTCTTTCTTCATCTAACCTGCCGCTCTGATGTATATACATATATGTATTGCAGGAAGGGGCACACATTTAAACTCAGTTACCATACACGAGTGCTTGTACTAGACTCCATATTGCAGTCAATTTATGGGAGCTATCGATAGTCTTATGATGTTTTGTAGATGGAGAATTCACATTGCGATGGGTTGAAATCAGTTTTTTCTAATTACCTAAAAATCACTCTAGTTATATTTCATTACTGATTAATCATTTCATCTAATGTTTATATTATAAATTCTGTAAATATAAGGGGAGTGTTTATTGAAAACTAATGCTTACCGTAAATGCTGTTAGTAAAAAGGAAATTAACTTTAAAAACTGTTTCCTGAATGACTAATGTATGGTAAATAAGGCGAGTTGGAAATAATTAATGATCCAAGTAAGGCAGTTTAGTTCATCTAGTTTAGAAATCGTAATAACTCGTACGAATTATATCTAACACATCAAATGTTAAGAGAACTGACTCAACCTATAACTCTCTTGAATAACTGATGGTTATCAACACAAACTGACATTATATAGAGAAGCAGGAGTTATAGTTTATACAGTTTAAAACTTATTATTTCCTATTCATTATCAAAAGATGAACAGATTCCAGGATGATTTTAAACAGGTGTAATGAAGTTTAACTGTCTAATACTTCTGGTCTAGTCTTTTTTGCATTATGAATAATCCCCTATGAGTTACTATTTGATTTGATTAACTATCTCAGTAAGGGTTTTCTGTAACTAAACTTAATTCGTTTCAGATCAGTTGTTAATGCACATATCATCATTATTTTTATCCAATGAAACACTGAATTCCAGTTCATTAGTTTGTAAGTATCATTCCTGTCACCAAACTTTTAGATCTTGGTCCCAAACTAGTGTGAACTTGTATTTCTATAATACTACAGAGTCTCATTCCAGCTGTTCAGTGCTGTCTGGTTTTCCTAACAAGTGGTAAATATCACATCGAAATTTATAAAACTTTACATAAAACACGTCAATGGATTACTACGTGTTCATCTTCTAATTCCATTTATCTCATTCCTCCAAATATATACTTGATTTTTCTCAATAATTCATCCTTTAATACTGATATGCTTAAAGTATACATAAATATAACAGGCTTTTCATAATCTCTTAAGACGCTTATTTATTTTGATATGTTCTTCCTTTAGTTCGACTGTGATTAAGGTATCTGTGTTTCATTACTAATGGAATTCAACAAGAAACCTGAAATTTTACTATGTGAAACATGTGAGACATAAGTTCTTTCGAATAGAGGCGTAAATGCGGATTTAACAATTCTCCTAAATTACGCTTTTTTAATGTACGTGTAATCTGATATGTATGTATTGAACATGATATATAGGGGTTTCTATCTTTGCTTGAACTAATGTTTACGTGGAAAATATACTGTTAAGCACAGATCCATAGCTCAAAATGTAAAAATTTATGATCATCAGAAAAATTGGAACCGAAGTATGAAACAGTAGGAAAATTTATTTGAGAATGTTTACAAATAAATCTAATGGTGAGCTCTGTACAATGACTGAAGTGAATAATTCTGAGAAGTATAGTTTCATTTAAATAGCATTCTGGAGTGATCAGAAGCTATGTTCTTCATTTCTAGATGGTGGAGAAGATTTGTAGCTCACCAAAATCTTCATTTCTAGCTAATACAGCAGTACCAACAGTTTAATAACACTTAACAAAGATAGAAAATGTATAAATCACATGTTGTTTCTAATTTTATGTACCAATCTATATGTTGGTCAAATATGTTTATTTATCAAATGAATAATATGACCTTTGATTTTTGTCGAAGTACTGATAATGCAAACATTAATTTAACACCTAATAGCTAATAGAATATATTGAAGTGAATTCACCCTTGAATTATAGGCATTCAAAAGTTAGCAAATGAATACAAAACGTATGAATTAGTCACTGTTCACTAATTGGCAATCGATGAAGTGATAAAGTTAGTTGGTTATTTAGTCAGGAAAATTTATGGTGAATAGCAGTTTTTTGGTCAGAAATTTACACATTACAATATCTCGTGGTAATTTAAGAAACGTAATATTTACTTCCTTTAAATAGTGAAATATTTTGTAGGATGGTAGTTTTAGAAAGATTGTTTATCGTGAACGTAGTTTATAACACGGAGTAATTCTATAGTTATCTAACCATTGGGAAATAGCTATCTAGTGCTTTATAGTTTACAGTTCTTAGGTAGCTATGATCATTCTTTGGTGTGAATACTGAACAGTCTTTACAAACGTTACATTCTAACAATGGCATGACATTTACCAGTCAATAACTTTTAGATATATTCGTAACTTTTTACTTAGTGATAGCGATCAATGGAGTCAAATAATTATTACTGATGATAATGAATAATCCCGAATGGACTGGAGTTTGATTTGTAATCCATTGCAAGACAACTGAGTGGTGCAACATTAACTACCTTCAAGTTACGGTTTCCAACTATGTTAGAGTTATTTAGTGAACACTTCTGAGGAGTCCTATGCTCACTAAAGTCGATTCAGCAGTTGTCGTGACATTAATTTATTTAAGTACGTCTTTAACCAGTTTAAAAAAGGGAGGATAAGAAGTTTATTTTTCCAAGTGTTGGTAAACTGAAGTCATTAGTGACCACACGAAAAAATGAGCACGTTAGTGTCTTGAATTGATACACAACTGATGACCATTGTCTTTTCTTGAAACATACAAGATCTGCTTCAAGCTTCCACAATGTCACTTCATGTTTGTCTAGAGATGTACTCATTTAGATATTACTAGTATAGGGGTTGTGGAGATTATTGAGTTTTTGATTGAGATCATGAAATTAATAATCTCCACAACCCCTATACTAGTAAATAACATGTGCTCACTAGTGACTAGCTTCGTGGGGGAATTCTCGGAGTTCTAGTGAGAAGCAGTGACCAGTGGAGCTATTCCATGTCGGGTAGAGACAGGTATCTACCTCAGTACAATGGAAGATGATCGCGCAACTTAGTGGATTGGTTGAGGTTAGACATGAACACCATCGGATACCGGCTCAGTGGTCCAGTTGGTTAGGCGTTCGCGCACGGGACCGAAGGCCCTGGGTTCGAGTCCCGCGGGCGGGATCGTGGATGCGCACTGCTGAGTCGTCCCACAGTAGGACGAAACGGTCGTCCAATCCATCCAGGTTTCCAAAGGTGGTCTAACATTGATCGGCTCATGATCTCAATCATTTATATATAAGTTGTGTATTGGTCATCAATCTGTTTAATCACATTTGATCCACTATTACATTAAAGGTATCCTTCATTCTCTTTATATTAGATCTGAAGTTATTTAACTTACAACATATAAGTAATTAGATTAATTGTGTTTTCAATTCAATTTATAGATTTTTATAATTGTAAATTCTTTTTCATTAAATTCAATTTTAGACTTGTTTACATGAATTCGACAAGCAAGTTATTAATGAATTAGAAAATGCTAGCCAAATCATAAATGATTTACAAAAAACAATAAAATTTTCTGAATCTTCATTATTGAACTCATTACATTATCAATTAAATGAACATTGTTGTCAACCTAAATTATTCAAAACAGAATTTTATAAAAGTACAAATAATTTTAAAAAGAAAACTGGAATAAAAGATTTTTCTAAAAAGAAAATTTATAATTTAGATGAAAATATAAAAAGATTAATTATAGATGAACAACAATCATATCCAGGATATAGTCCAGAATTAGATTGTCGATCACCTACGGTAAAGGTTAGTTGATATGTATTATGTAAAATTATTATTTTATTAGATGTTACGACTTTATGGTAGTGTTTTTTGTTGTAGATTATTACCTATAATGGTAATTTCAAACACTGCAGTAAGCTAGGTGGATGTTTGATTGATAAATTATTGTTCTGTATGAAATTCTTCTAAAATATTTCTTTTAGACAATCTAAGAGAATTAGTGCCAACTTCGCAAAGTAACTATGTGTTATTTTAATGTTACATTAGTAGATATTAACAAAAGTAGAATATTTACCTTACCTGTTTATGATCGATTTTTGTGTTGATCAATTAGTCATTTTCATTAAAACATTGAACAGTATATTTACTAAAATCAACAACCAATCATTAGAAAGTTTCCAGATTCTGGATTTTTAATGTTGAGACTTAAATGATCATTAAACACAACATTATTTATTTTCACTTTTATTATCTTTTCATCATTTCCTGGTCTTCATTTTTTTTAATTTTTCAAATCGTTTTACCGATGTAAAACAAACGGACCCATATCGTGTAAAAATGAAGAGATAAATATTTGTTAACAAATTACAACTTTCTATTTAGTTTGGTTTATTCATCGTGCAATTAACAATTCTCAAAAGGAAGTGCATTCAAATTAGGTATTTTTTCGTAGTCTGGAACCCATGATCTAACTAAACACCTTTATTTCTGTCAATGATCATGTTAGCTTTCAATTATAGTAATTGAAATCCGGCGGTCTACATTTTCAATCCCAGTTATTTCAAGAATGTGCAGGTCAATTGTTCAATGCTATCAATGATACATACTCACTTCTAACATGATAAATTAATTTTAAATAAAACAACTGAAATTACTGTAACCTTTAACTAGTTACTCTCACTTGGTGACTTTTTAGAAGAATGGGTTACAAGGATTTCATTGTCGAAAAATAAGTTTCATTCTGTTATACATTAAATTTCCAAGTTATTTTGGAAAAGAAACAGGTGATTATGAAGAAAATCGAAACTTATTTTAATGTGTATTAGTAGCTACCCCTTCTCTAAAAGCAAATATAAAATTAGTTTTGGATATGAGATTTTTTCTGGCAAAATATTTTATTGACGTATAAGTGACAATTGCTTAATGTCTCATTACGTTTCTGATTTTTTTTATTAAAAAAACGACAAATCAAACCAGATATTTACCTAAAATAATTCATCATATACTATAAAAAAACATGTGAGTTTATTCATAATGAAGTTCGATTAGTAATAAAGAATCGCGTTTATTTACAATCCTCTAATCGATTAATATAGTCCAATATCATGAAAGTCGTGAATTTAGAAATGTTTGTTTATAGAATTTAGAAAGATAATCAAAATTATATCATCTTTATCAATAAATACTAGAGGTGGTACTCATAACTATGTTTCGTCCTATTTGGAACTCATCGCTTGAATGTACTCATATAACGGTATTTATATTTGCCGTTAAATTCAAACCCAATAGCCATTGAGGATAATGATTGAGTGAAATTATTACAATCGTATAAATAGACATACTTCCAAGGGATTTGATACGATAAAATATATTCACAGTTTTGAGCACAGCTTATGCAGGTGATGATGTCACATAGGCAATATATTTTGACAATTTTATCTAAATGTTTTACGTATTAATGTATAACGTGCTTTTACTGTCTTATCGCTTACGTACTCGATATAAATATAAATATATATAGAGATTGGTGAAAGATTTCTTTCATTGTTCCAAGATTTTTGTAAATTAAAAAAACGTTATGCACAACTTAGTAACAAAATAAAAGTAACCGATTTAGTTAAAGTAAGTAAATAAAGTCTAGACAGTAAAATAACTTTTTTAGATGTAAAATCTATAAGCATCATGATAAATAATGGCTGCCTGCTTGAGTATCTGGGCTACTTGTTCCTGCCATCTAGATATTTCAACAAGTTATCTGGGTTTTTTTGTTTTAACACATCATAATGTCTAGTAATAGCATAACCTATTCAGCTGCGTTTGTCATAAGTTTGTGATATTTCGCTGTACAAGTTACAGAAAAGCCGAAACAGGGAAATCGTAGTTACTCACACTATGCAGCGATAAAAATGTACATTATACAGATGTCGATTCATAAACTGCTAACATCACACTAGCGATCATTCAATTTTTATCGTCAGGATAGATGAAGAAATAAGGAAAGAGAACTTGTTGAAATACTTAGTGCTGAAAATTCTATATTGTATCAATAACATGATATTGAATAAAGTTAATAATAATAATATTACCAATAGTAGTAATCTTGTTTTTATTATCAAACTTGAGATTCTTAGTTAGTTTATTTCTGATAAAATAACCCAGAATTAATTGAGTTAATATTGTTTTTAGTAAGTATTTAATGAGATCTGAATTCTATTGATAACGGTTTACCAAATGTACTAAGGATTGTTGTTTATTATGTACTCACTGATGAATTGAAAGTGAGACTTTACATGTGAATAGTAATTACCAGTATTGTTCAGTTGTTTCTGGTTAGATCTAACAAAGACCAATATATTAGTGTCACTATACTTGTACTGTAGACATTTCAGTACTTTAAATATAATATGTTAAAATCTGTTTATCAATGTTTCAGCTGGTTATATGTTAGTTAAATCCAGCAAAAAGTAAGTTAACCTGGTATTTAGATACAAAAACGAAATCTTCATACTTTTAAGTTACCAAGGATTTATGTTAATATTTAAAACTTAGACATCGTTTCAATGAATTCGGATTTATTTCGATCACATACAACTCTTTAGTTTGTTGAATCTATTCAGCTATAAGGTACAATACATTATCCTTAGGTTACAGTCATTAAAACCCCTGTTGATCCTCTTATCATACTAAATTTTTCCTCGCTGTACTAATAAATACTATAACATTGGTCATCTAAGCCTAGTATACAACTCTACTTTAAACTTGAAATGTTCAGAGCACTTATTTAGTCGTTTATACTCTTTATTGCTTTAAAAAAAAAGCAATTTAATATTAGTGAATAAATGTTAGTGTACTTCTATTGTATTCTTTGTATACTATTATATTATTATATTAAGGTCAAGAGTATTGAATGATAAAAGTGCTAGAAAATGTACTTTGGTTAACGATTATTATGCTGAATGCTAATGATAATTGTATTGATTGACTATGTTTTAGAAGAATAATTGAAAGTCATCAACGACTACCATATAAATCAAGTATGTTAGAAACTTCATTAATATGATATACATTAATAAACTGATTTAACTTCAGTTACCCCTTTCAACTTATCGTTATGATCTGTTCATGAATAAAGTTCTTTTTTTGTAAATTGTATTGTATTCATTTATGCAGTTATAATTGATTTATTGAGTAGTTTCGGTAAACTTATGTATATTTATAATCTCAAATAGTTAAGTCTGTATACATTTTTTGTTTTGTATTTTGTATTTTCTTGAAAGTCGTTACTTGATTTGGCACTGTATAAATTATTCCTGCAAGGAATTACAAGTGATATGTAACCATGATTTAGTACTTAATTCATCTGACTTTAATTAATATAATGAAGCGTGCTCCTTTCATGTCAGTTCAAACAGTCAGACTATATAGAAAGACTACAATTGAAAAAAGATTGTTTACCAGCTGTGTACAATAAGCTGCATTTAATTGCTAAGTTACATTTACTGAACAATAATAAGTACGTATTTTTCATATGTTTCACATTTTCATATTGTATTAAATTTAAAGGATGGAATTTTTTTAGGGTCTTCTGAGAGGAATAACAAATTTTTTAAAATGTTCTGTGTGTATTAGATATAACTCATTAATCATATATCATTTCTTTGTACGCGTGGTTTTAAGGGCAGCACTGTTTGCTTGAACATCAATCATGCTGCTCGGCTGATTAAATAGAAGGTGTAATAGAATTTGAACCTGGTGTCTAATAATTGAAAGCTGATTGCTCTAATCGCTAGAACTTTAGTTGGTTCATTGTACTGTGTTTATCATAAGTTTGTAGGGTTACTTTTAACTGTTCTCCTTTAGTTTTGCATCTTAAATGATAAGATTAATTGAATTCTCACATTTTCAACCATGCTAGACAATTGAATAGTCGTGTAGGGGCTTAAATGATGAAAACTTCAATTTATAGTCGATAATTCAACTCTTTCAAAAAAAGGGTGACTTTTCGAATGTAATTTTAGGAATCATTCCTCGTGTCTATATGTATATTAACAATTGTTAAAACATCTGATATGAACTTCTGAACTCATACTAATTTCACGAATAGAGTAGGCTTGAATTGTTCAAACTATAAACAAATAGCTTATACTTAATTTCTATATAATATTTCGGTAAACAAAAAGAAATTATCGAGTATTCCTTATAATGAGTCATTCATTCAGTGTGTATATTTCTGTTTTGTTTCCTTTTTGATTGACATTCATGAAGGAATTATTTAAGCCAAAAAGCAATAATAACAACAACACGAAGAAGAAAAAGAATGAAACAGCTGTTCATCTATTTATTTATACTACATTATATTATTTAGTAATTTTATTGATTTCCATTCCATTTGTGAACTTACACCCCAACAATTAGTGTCATTCACTTGTTCAATTAGAAACAGGGATTTTTGAATATTTGAACTTTTTACTAAGCACATATACCTGAACACACTCATATCTATTTTTTTTTAAATAATAAAAAATATATATATATAAAGCTCCATTAAAGTTCAATATATGATTTCATATAGGTTGAGTGATTGAAGAATTTGATAGGTTTTTATCATACATGTAATTAAAATGAATGATAATGCATTATTGAGGAGTCATAAATTGTATGAACATAATGGGATTTATTGTTTTAATCATTTAAAATAATAAAAAAATCCCCAGTATATTTTGATACATAGCATGGTGATATCTATCTATCTTCTTTTCACTTTTGTTACCTATTTAAACTAATAAATCTACACTTAATTTTTTCAAAATATTTTTGTGTATTTAATAAAATATATCGTTCATTTACAAATTGTGATTCATTCAACTCCTATCTCTCTCTTTCGTTTTCTAGCTCTATTCGACTTCATACGCAAATACATGTAGACATATAATCAAACGTGTACTTTGTGTATTCATGTCTCTTTACATACAAAAAACAATATACATTTAAGACCTATTTTTTCTACCTCATTTAGCATTCCACATATTGTTTCCTGTCTAACTATTTATCTATTTCGCGGTTTGGTTAAAGAAAAATCGATTTTTAAAAAACATATATATATACACCAAATATTCAATTTAGATTAGAAAAAAAAGGATCATTATGGGAAATGTTTTATCTATATCAGTAATCTAAATTTTAAATGGGAATTAAATAGTTAATTTTTTTTATTGGACTTTGTTTAACATTTAAATATGTTGCTTCTAGTTTTGAAAGTAGACTAAAATGGGAGGTATCCAAAACTGCTTATGCATCTTGATTGATTGGGTTTAAGATAATGTACAGGATTACATCAATTAATTATATTCAAGGCTCATCTTTTATTCTATATCATTCTGGTCATCAAAATGAATTAGTTTTCTTTTTCATGAATTTGTCAATGGATCAATACTTTTTTGTTAAATGGATAGACTCTTTTGCTCTTTTTTTCGGGTTAAATATTTATTCATCTTTAAGCTCATTGAGTTATATCATTATTTCTTTGGTAGGTTTGTCCCATTGCTTTATCTGACACTGATACTCAGAAATCGTCAATTCAAGTAATTTGAAGGTATTTTAATTTTGAAAGATGTCCGAGGTTAGGAATTTTGTTGTATAATTTACATCACAAAGTGATCTTAATTAGACAATAATTTATAATCTGGAAACACCAAACATCTATTCCGTCTTCGAATGAGATTCTTTAACAGTATCTACCGAAAACCCCACTAAGGACCAAACGTAAGACTTAAAGATCTCATGGCAGGCGATTAATCTCTGAGCTGGGATACACGATTTCACAAATCCAACTTCGATTTGCAACAATGAACATTATTAATCAGTAACTGCATAACATTTTAGATGGTTGAATTCAACTGGTCACGGTTTTTATCAAGAGCAGCTTTCGAATACCTCTCCTTTTCCATAACTTACCGAACTAAGATTGGTCATTGTTACAAAATGTGAAACTCAATAGGCTTTACAAAAATCTTATAGTGCTCATTTGGTTTGCTATGGATGGCTAATAATTCACATATAGATTAAAATGAGATACCTAGGAGAAATTTGTAGTCGCATATAAAATAAGACCTTGTTTATAAAATGCACTTTCTAATATTGATCTGAATAATTAGGGGACTTATAGGGTGACGAATGTCTGTCAATGATATTAGATCACAGCTACAGCGGATTTCTAATTTACCTGATTATTAAAAAGAAGAAATTTGTTCTAGCTCAACAACTCATATATCTTCTGCTACACCTCTTACAAGAGGTGCTAACTGCTTTTCTCTAGTTTAATTGCTTATAATATAAACTGTTTTCGTTTAAATCTTATCTTAAGAAACCACGTTAGTCGATATTTTGAACAAATCGTGGGAGTTAACCAATATATATTGTACACGATTCCAAATATTAAGTCATATTTATCAGCCAAATAAACTTGAACCATGGATAAATACTGAATATCCCATGCATCTGTGCGAAGGCGAACAAACAAATCAGCACATATTATATTACTATTACCAAAATGTACAAATGTATTCCGACTGAAGTTTAAAAGAATACTGGAGTCCGTTATTTCAACTTAGTAATCTTAAGGTATCCCATTAACCTCTATACTGTGAAATCTTAGAGTTGACCCTGTGTTTATTCATCACTGTGTATTATAAATGAGTTCGGAATTGCAACAAAACAAACAGTTATTGATTAACACAATATCGAATCGAGTTAAAAATTGAATGTCAAAAAAGTTTCCTGTTCATGTATTAACTGTAAAACATAATGGAATACTCATTTTCAAATCGAATATAGCACACACTCACTAAGTGTTATTTATTGGCAGGTTTCTAATTCTGTAAGTGTTGATTATATACAAACAAGTTCATCACATTTCTAATCCATTTTGTCTGTCTTTGTTTTAGAATTATTAAAATAGATAAATTTATTCTACATCCAAGTTATTGTTTATTACTATTCAATCTTTAGTCAGTAAATATTATTGGTTGATAAGTCATAATGAACTAAAATGTAAATTTTACGTTCTTCTGAAACTGGGGAGTTGAATAATTGCTAATTTGATGAACTCTTGTTTTAATGTTCAAGTAGTCATATATAGTTTCTTTCTTTTTAAATCACGAATTGAAACAAAGATCTATTAGAAATAAACATGCATTGAAGTGGTGTTCTATCCTAGTTCAAACTTTTCAGTAATGTTCATCTACGATTCAATCAAATAACTGAAACCTAGAATATCCATATTTAACTACATGCAGCGTTATTCATAAACATTTGAGATAGAATCTGTCGTTTCACATTGTAAACCTTAATAAGTGCATATTAAGTAATAGAACAGTCATTCAGTATCGTTAGTGATACTTGTGTGACTCTACAAAACTTATCGATTCTCAATAATTCTGTTTATTTTCTCATTAAAAAAACTGATTACGGATTTCAATAACAAATTATTCAGCTTCTCTCTTGTATTCATTTTAATATTTACTTAGAATCCAATTAAACAGGATGACTGGAAAAGTCCTATTACAGAGAAAAATGAACGTCATTCAACTCAAAGAAAATTCACAGAATCACCATGGGGACCAGTATCAGTTCAACAAGCAAAAAAATTAACAAAAGATTTCGATCAGTGCCCGAAAGTCATTGGTCAAAACAATAACAGTCGTAAAAATAATCACCTTATAACAAATGATAATCATTCGAAATGGTTAAAATCTTCTAAATCTTCAATGAGTAATAATAATTTAGATAAATTGAATGAATCTACTTATCAAACTAATGATGTAACTGATAAAAAGTATAATTTGTCAAATGAACGATATTTTAGCCAATTAACTTTACCAATCTATTCAACTTTTTCCAGTACCAAATCAAATACAGTTTATTTGAATACATCTAAAGAATTTAATGTTTCAGAGAGTAATTCAAACAAATTCACCACAACCAAAGGTATTCAATCTTTGTTTAGATTACCATTCAAAAGAAAAGCAAGTACACCTGGACCGAATATTCAATTTGTAGAACATCCATTAAAATCTCATGGACGTTCGGCTAGTTTAGCTCAATTGAATACATCAAGTGAAAATCCATCTGTTATGTCTGTATCAAATGATCAATTGAATAAAAGTACTAATAAATTAAACGTACCGTATATTAAACCTTTATTACTTAAAGAATTGTCGAAAATTTAAAATTGAGAAACCATTGAAATGGCCATATTTTTATTTAAAAAGTTATTTTAAAAATCTTAAAAATCCTTAAATAAAATCAATTGTGACTTTCTGCTTCATAATCTGCGTTCAATATATTGCTGCTAATAAATATTTTGTCCGTAAGAATATAATCAACAAAACTAAAGTTTTTCATTAAAATATTTTGATTGCATAGTGATAACATCTCTGACTATGAAGCTAGGTGACACGGAATCGAATCCGTCAGGGAGCATCAGTTCCCTTAAGATTACAGGTACACCTTGCTGACGAGTGCCAAGTAGCACGAAACCCATGTCAAACGATTCCTGTTGACTACCTCCAACCACCATCTTATCTCAACATAAAGTACACAGTGTCAAGTCACCTAGACTACTGGCCATATTGCAACTTGGTCGGTAGTATTCTATCTGCACTAAGAAGGACCTGAAATTGATCACTACCCAGTGATCAATCAATTGTCATTGTGAAAATGTTTATGATCAAAAGGTATATTTTTAGTAATCATAACTATACTCATTTGTTGTTAAGAGAAAGTTATGATGGAATCTATCAGTACCGGATAATAGGTGTTGCTCCATACCGAAGTATCTGTTATTGATATATCTGATTATCTGATATAGTGTTTAGAAAAATTTAAGAAATCCATAAGCTAGAATTGATAGAATGAATTTTTCAGATATTATGTGATGTAATTTATTAATATTTTAGGAGTGACACAAATTTTTAACATTTTACTAACAGTTATCTGATGGTGCCCTGCTTGAACATCTGGGCTAGCTGTTCCTGCCATCTAGTTATCTAACTTTGTTTGTTTAAGTACACCATTATGGTTATTAATCGTATTACCTATTTAAATGCGTTTCTGGAAAGTGTACAACCTTTCGTTGTACAAGCTACAAAAGAGCCCAATCAGAGATATTGTGTTTACTGGTAATATGCAGTGAAATGAATGTACATTGTTTAGATGTCAATTGACTGGACTGCTAACCTCTAACTGGTGATTAATCAATATTTATCATCAGCTTCAACCAAGAAGTAAGAAACTGAAAATTTTTGAAATACTTTGTGCTGCGAATTCTATATTAAACCAAAAGTATAATATTGAATAAAGCTAATAATAATAAACATAATTTACTATAGATGTCGTAGCTACTTATTAGTAGCTCAGTGTTCATTGTGAAATATTTTATATATAAATGTATATCATGAAATATGTGAAAGTAGTCCATCTACTGAGAACGTTCACGTAATAGGATAGATTATAAGGACAAACAATAATCGTTCATATCATGAAAATTTATCACAAATAGTTGAGAAAAGCTGATACTACTTTATTTTATTCAGTAACTATGTTCCTAAAATATTCACCAGTTAAACCTAAAAAGATCAAAGATTGTTCATCTTGCAGATGACTTTACGTTTTATTGATATCAGATTTATAACTGTTTAACTAGATCATTAAGTGAAATAAATTATCATGATTGCTGATGTAACAATAAATGTTGGTATATAGCAATACATACCGGTCGGTGGGTTTTGGAGCTCTTTTCTTATGGTCCAACTACAGCATTTCGAAGTATCATTATTTATCAAGGTCGGTTCTTGGTTTCGATATCAGAAATAATAATTCCTAGAATTTATTTTTTTTTTCAAAATAAACTATGATTATTAAATCCATAAATTGAAATTTAACAATGAAATTTTTGTATTTACATAATTGTATTTCCTCTAAACTAAAGTAGCACTTTCATGATTCATTCAATTCACAGCAAATATGTAATAGTATTGTTTTATTTATAACATAAATCATCTATATATTTATCAAGACAATGAATCGGTTTCAATTTTAAACACATGTTCTCTATCTTAATTATCATTGTTCACATTTACAAATAACTCCAAGGCTTCATTCACTTGGTATTGTTTTACTTGAATCTTCCCATTGATGTTTTAGGACTGAAATTGATCAGTCTCTTATTGCCATATGTGCATACTGTGCATATTCCTCGATATTGCCTTAACCTACAAGCATTATAAGTAAAGACAGATAGTGGCTAGCAGCTCAGTATTTAAGTGGATAACGCGATGGCGTTTGAAGCGAACGGTACTGAGTTCGAGTCCCAGAGTGAACATCAACTCATGCAGGTACATCCAGCTGACGAGTCCCAAACAGGACGAAACGCGCGTCCTGGATTCCACTGCTAATGTACTATCCATCTTTGCTTATAACTCGAAGGTTGTTCAGCTGTTGATGTCAAAAAACTAAGTGATTTACCAGTATAGGAGCTGTGGAGATTATTAATTTTTCCATTAAGATCATGAACTGAGTGATGTTAGATCACCGTTGGAGATCTAGAAGAACTGGACGGCCATTTCATCCCATTGTGGGACCCCTCAGCAGTGCGCATCCACGATCTCACTAGCGGGATTCGGATCCAGGGTCTTCCGTCTCGCGCGCGAACGCTTAACCTACTGGACCACTGAGCCGGCACCTAATGGTGTTGGTGTCTAACATCTCAATCAAAAACTTACTTATTCATGAAATGCAATGCAATACTTATAGAAATAATGGTTACTTAGGATGAATTTATTGAATCCTGTAAATACTGTCCTTCTTGCTCTATTTAAATATCATTCAGTTTTGTCTTAGTTATTTATCAAATCAAACAGACATTTTCATTAAAATTTACAGGTGTGAAAATAAGCTTGAGTTGTAATACCTCTCTGTATTAATACATTTACGGAATATTGAGTGTTCCTGAGGATTTTGTTACAAGAACATAGCGGGAGAAAATACGAATTTCAAGTGTGAACACTGATAAGCACTACTTTGACAATTACTGTTTGTACAAATGATAAATCACAGTGAAAATTATGTGTAAAAGTACTTTTTCTACTTCAAGTTACATACTTACTTACTTACTCATGTTACTCCTCGTGGAGGAGTATAGGCCGCCCACCAGCACTCGCCATCCAACGCTATCCTGAGCAATCCTCGCTAAAAAAAGGTTAACCGGAAAAAATAATTCAAACCATTTAAACTCTATCCTGGGAGTTAGAAGGTCTTCATTTAGAAGAACTATGACGCATCATGGTGTAAGCCGATTTCCTTCAAGTTACATGGTGTCCATCTATATATCTATCAATACACATTGATTCGTTCTTGTTTAACACATACCTGTTTTTCAAAATATTTTATGTGTTAGAGATAATTGTCTAGAGTAAAACCCACTATTTTACTTGGCTTCACCATGTCACAACTCTATGAAACAAGTAGCTTGAATTGAAAATGATTTTTATTAAAGAAAGTAACATGTTAATTGGTGACATTTATATCCAGTTTAATAAATCAGTAAAAATTATTACAGATAGCTAAGTTAATATTGGTAGATTTTATTTGTGTAAATAAGAATCTGTACACACACTATCTACATACACTAAAGTAAACATACAAAAACCATTAGAAGAAGCACTTTATAACAGTTAGAGTATAATTGTAATTTTTTAAATTATCTAAGGGTTATACAAATAACTAAGAGATCAGTGATGTCAAGAATGCTGAAATTTTGATACGAATGTTCTTGTTCAGTCATGTGAACGTTCCATCTCTGGTATCATGATCTTTATATTTGTGTCTCTGGTTCTAGCTAACGTTTTATCTAGTGTTGACAGTTCGTGATTTTAGTTCAAGATTAGTAAAAATATTTAACAAAGATACGAACGACATTTGTTCTTATTTTAGATAGTCGTAATTAGCGATGTCACCAACTAAACTTCATTGAACCAGTGAATGACACTTGTTACAATGTTTGAATGAAAGTGATTATTATGTCATCACTCGTTCATTTGTTGTGATTTATTAATTAGAAATAGTTAATTACATAGCATTTCGTTCTCAATTTGAACGTAGATACTCCAGTCGTGAAAAATACTGTTAATGAAATACAGTATTTAACGGGACAATTAAAATGTTTCACCGCGTTATTAAATTAATGACATAATCACATAAAATTTAACTGTTAACCTTTTTTGGTGGGATTACGTTCTCTGAGCTAGAAGAAATAATTGCACAGCTTTTGTTTTCTTCATTTAGAAGAAGGAAACCAACAACAAACAGGATGTTGAAATTAAGAATCTGGAAGTTCTAAAAAAATTACCAGCGAAGTTCTTCTATTACACATAACAATTCTTTATCAAGAGTTATATATAAATACATAATTGATGTCATTTCATACAAAAAAGGTTAGTCAACCATATGTTCCGAACTCAACAAAAAAAAAGCTGATCGACATGAATGGAAAAACAAATGAAGTTGATAAAGCTCACAGAGACAACTGATCACAATAAGTTTTTCAAACGAACACAACGATTGACTTGACATTTACGCAATTACTGAAAGGCCTACATCTATTTGAAGTAGGCGCCAATAATGTTATCCAAAGCACCAATTAATGCTCCTTAATTAATACATCTATCTCAGATGGTTCAACAATAATTAAAATATTTATCTAGGCTGCAAATTTCCATCATTTCAGGGAATATTGTCTCATTTATTTTATATGACCCGTGTAAGCACGTAAAGCTAAAAGCATAAAAATAAATAATTAGTTAACCAACTCATTTTATTTACATTACTCAATAATGTGGAAATTTCCTGTTCTCTGTATTGTGTGATTTATTTCGGTTTTAGTTATATGATGAGATGAGTGAATTTGCATTAATAGAAGATAATTTATCCATAAATCATTCCTTTCTAATTTACACTTCGGTCGAATTGGTTTACAGAGAAACAATGAGGAAGAAATTAATAAGATCATAACAGAACTGATCTTATTGTTTCTAGTTTATCCATACAATTTTTAGTATTCATGTATAACCAACAATAATTTTAAAGTATTATTCTACTTGGAATGATTTCCACATTTTCCATTTTAATTGGGACTTAAGTTACGAGGATCCTAGAAAGATTGACAACGGAAATTCTAGTGAAATTCATTTTGAAAATTTATACCTGTTTGAATCAGAAAGAAGTGTTGAGTGAATCACTAAAAGACTTGTAAGTGAAACATATCTATCTATAAATTTTGTTAAAAATGAACATATACATGGAAGCTGAGTTTTCACTTTTGGC